TTTTCCTTGAGAACTGTGTGAGTGGCCCCACTATCGAGGGTGAACTCTATTGTGGCTGAGGTGCTTTGTGAGCCGGGACATGCGAAATTGTTTCATTAATCATGGCTCTGCCAGGGAACAACATGTTGAGGCGCACATCTGTAGGGGGAGCTACAGCAGCCTGCTGGGATTCCTGCACTTCGACTTGATTGACCTTGCGAGGAGCACGATTCACCATCCAGCTTGGCGGCTTGGAGGCGGTCCCATTGATGGCATACCACTCGTCATCCTTCTTCTTAAAGCAGGAGGCGAGGGCGTGGTTGGTGCCGCCACACACCTGGCCGGCACGAGGGCCGCGCTTGATGACGTAGTGATACAGGGGGAAGCGGTTGCACTGGAATGGTGCCGAAGCGGCAAAGGCCTCAGGCACGGGAGCGCGGATTGCATTGCCCTTGGCTTGAGCGCTGTTGTCCTTTTGGACATAAAGGAGCGCAGATGAGACCTTGGCAAATGTGAGGTCCGCAGGAGCAAGGCCACGAGCATCTCGCGCGTTACTTCATATGCCGGTGTGAGGCCGACTAGGAGAGCGGCCTTTTGCCAATTTTTGTACTTGAACAGTGCACCAGCATAAACTGCTTCGGCAGTGGCATAAGCTGGATCGATAGACCTCTCGGGTTTAGGAGGCTCTTTGCCGTCACCGATGTTGAGAAGGACGTCGGTAAGCTTGAGTCGCTTCACCTCGCGACTAAGGAGGTGCTTGTCGACACCATAGCACCAAGCCTTGTAGTTGGAGCATGTACCGTCCGGCTCGAGAAGAAGGAGCGGGATTGGGTTGGCGAGGAAGTGGTTGAGTAAGCCATTGCCGCTTGATTTTTGCGAAGCGACGCTCTTAAGTCACCGATAGGAACTTCCGTGCGCAGTGTGTCGTTTCTGGAAATCGGACGACGAGAATTGCTGAAAATCACTCCATCGGCTTCGTCAAAATGCGGCTGAGAAGGAAATGGCGTCACCGGAAATTCATTAAAACGCGACTTGAAACTGAATTTGAGACTATATCTAACCCCGGACCCACACACCCCCCCACACACCCCCAGGCCCTGTCCCGCAGCTACATAGCTCCGCAACCAGCTCCGCAACCAGCTTCGCAACTACCTCTGCAACCAGCTCCGCAACCAGCTCCGCTTCGCTTCCACCTGTGTACCTGCTCTTGCTTGACGCGAGACGTTCGTGGAGGCGATTCGACGAGGGGAGTTCGCCTATTCTGGCGGGGTCCGAGGGGAAACTTGAAAACGAGTTTTAAGAGATGGTCGAAATTGAGATTCGACCAAGGAGAACAGAAGAGGAATCAATGATGGGAAGCATGAAACCTTCGAGTTGAGAATTTCAACGAGGTCGAGCGCGAAGGCGGTCGACGATGAGAGGCGCGACTGCAGAGTGGAGCACGTCGAAAATTCCGACGACTCGAGATGAATGTCGCGACGATGAGGTGCGCGTAGCGCGGGCACGTTAAGATTAGGACCTTGATTGGTGTGTGCGGATAGGTCACTCTGATACCATGTAAGAAATAGAGCTGAAATAATTGATTTGGTAAGGAGCCCAAGGCTCTATAAGTACATGGCAAGGTGAGAGAGAGTGGATGAAGGGGGAATCGGAGGGAATCCTTATTGGGATCTCCAAAATCTCCAATTGGGTAATTGGAGATTGTGGGGATCACAATTGGGTGAGGTTAGGATTTGTGAGGACACCCCAACCCACTAGAACATTCTTAACTTGAGCTAGGATATAAAAGTACAAATACAAAAATGGGATTTGCAGTCTATTTCTAACAGCGAGTACATCAGGAGTGAGGCTTGTACTAAAAGGACGGGAGCCAGTGGTGCTCACTGGACTCAAAGACGTGTCGTGGGCTGACGACTTGAAGATGCTCAGGTCCTTATAGGTCTACTGTTTTAGACTTGGCTCCGGTGAAGTCTCGTGGAGTTTCACTAGGTCGTCGTTTGCAAACAACAGGGCCATGATCCTTGTTTGTCAGGAGGCTCAACTTGAGGGCAGGGCGAAGCATATGTATCTGCAGTACCTCGTGTCGCGTGCGTTGGAGCAGCACAGTCAGGCTTGTGTAGTACAGTTGGCCTCAGAAGTCAACACCGCTGATGTTTTCACCTCGTGACCATTAACAGTTTTGTACTCAGCTTGGTCTAGACTCAGTAGCCGCCTGTCAACGGTTTTGTATTTTGATCTGTAGTATACCGGCATGTACTTGTTGCTCTATACCTGCTTGTCTTGCAACACTTGCTGACTGACCTTGTGGCCCTTGTCTCAGTGGTCTGACAAGCAGTGCTGCTTTGAGTTCCCTTGTTAATGTTCACCAGAGGCAGGTTCAGTAGTGCTGCCCTGGTTTGTTACACGCTGCCTCTATCTAGGCTAGGGGGTGTGTCAACTAACATTTATGTACATCCTAAATAGAGTATACTTGTTCGTGTATCCTAGCTAGGTCTACTCTTAGAGAGGATACCAATCTGTATTTGTATCTCCTGTGAGAGTACGACCCTGCTACACTTCTTTCTCATTTCCAAATTCCTTCTCTATCTCATTCTCCTTTTCATCCTGATTCATCTAGTCTTTATCTCATCTCATTGGTTTCCTATTCCCAATTTTCCACCATCCTTTGGTTTAACCTATTATTATAATTATGTCACCAACCAGACTCGGGATGTTCTTGCGCCATATCCAACATAATCTTGTCCTAATCCCTTTAAGCCAATAGCCTCGCGTGGCTATACGCAGGGTGATTCTATTTCTAGGAGGGTCTATTCCATATGGAAACGTTATACCTGGTTACCTGATGTAACTTGGAAGTATTAAAGCACCTTGTATCGATTAATAGTGCAATTTTCTCTCGACCAATTCGATCCTGTGACACTTGGTAATCAGAGTTTTTCTCAGTCGGCCACGGTCAGCTATACAGCAGCTGCGGTGGCGACTAATTTGGTGCCGATCTGGGAAGCACCAGCTCAAGCGACGGGTGGCAGCAACGAATTACGCGAGCTACAATAACGTTTTATCGGCAGCGGAGCGGTTTGATATGGTCAATGCCGGAACACGACGGGCGCACATCTGTAGTTAACGACAGGGCGACCGCTCGGCACACCCAACGTTCGCCGACCCAATGGAAATCGACAGGTTAAATAGGCGACCATGTTAGAAAAACACCAGTTTTACGTGCAATTTTTGCAGAGTGCTGGGCCAACGAATATTCGACAGCAACAAAATGAAGGCCGCACGTGCAGCGCAACAGTGGCGGGAATTCTTCGGCCAGTCAAAAGTAAAAAAATGGGAATCGCTAGTGATTGTGGGTATAGCAGGCAAAAAAGAGAAGATAAGAAAGCGGCCGCGGTATCCTGGAATAATCAACTTCTACGAAGCTTATTCGATGTGAATAGGAGGAAATGATGGGGGTCCACCCCAAGACCGGTCTTTGCCAGGGAAAATCGCCAAGAAAAAATCTGACTCCGCAAAAAGAGACTCTGTCGAGACAGGGAAACTCCTCAAAGACCTGAGAAATAATACAGGGTTCGTTAAAGTTATCTTACAAATATGCATTAATGAACTTATAATTCTCGAAGGGTTAGAGCCTTGGAGAAATTTCAGGGAGGACCCCAAAAGAGCAGAAATTATGGAAATTGTACCGGTACCGGAGAACTTGGGGAAGGACTTAAGGAGTGTGGAAAGAAGCCGACCTTTCCACGGAGTCAACGTCCTCTTCCGAGACCAGCCCACAACGACTACCTGCTCGTCAAGGAAGACGTTGGAGGAGCTCAAGTAGCTCAACAGGAAGCTGAGGGTCTATACAAAGGTGCAAAAGCCTTGAACTCCTCCTTCAAATGCATCCAGCTCAGCAACCTCGGCATCAACGACTCGCACAGTCGTCAAGGAAACTCCGGGCCCTGGAAAAGAGCCTTTCTCCAAGCAGCCTCGGCCAGCTGCCAGCTTTGGATTAGATAGCAACGAAAAGGCGAGTACGGAATATTGGGATGTACCCTATGATTCTATTAATGAAACTATCTTTGGGTACTCCAAGCAATGCCTGCCCCTCGTGCTCCGGTTCATCTGCAAAGGATGACGCCTCCGGGCACTTGTGGACAGCAAAGCGTTATACACCGTATGCGAGAAGACAGCAATCGACCGACTTCGGGAAGTATGCAAGCCTTCAGCATTTTCTGCAACGATGGTGGACGGCAACAAATTATCCGTCTACGGCGAAGCAGTGTTACACCTACAAATCGGACCACTTCGCTGGAAACCTGCCCTCCCCATCACCAACATAAAAGGGCTTGACTTGATCTTTGGGCGAGACTTCCTTAAAAACTCAACCCCGAGTATCCACAACAATGGAAGGAGAGTCCAACCACCAAACTGGGACGACACAGGAGATATCCCAGTAGAGACACTCGCCAGATTTCAGAAGGACATGAAACGAACCGACATCGGGTTCTTGGCAATAGCAACAGAAGCAGAAGACAATCAAAAGCATCGGAACCTCCAGAAAAAATCAGAGAATTACTGAAGGAGTTCCAAGACATTCTTCCCGACGACCTTCCGAATGAGCTACTGCCGTGCCTAACGCACCAACACGAGGTTGTGGAGGAACCAGGTTCGAAGCCGACCTTTCGAGCACCATTCCGGCTCAGCCCTACAGAGCCAGCCGATATGAAGAAACGGATCGAGTATCTTCTGGCAAAAGAACTCATCCGACCATCCACTTTTCCATACGGTGCCCCATTACTCTTCACACCGAAGTCGGACGGAAGCCTGCGCATGTGCATCGGCTACCGAGCTCTCGACTGGCAGACCATCAAGAATAAATACCCAATTCCACGAATCGATGACCTGCTTGACCAGCTTCAGGGAGCCACAGTACTTTCCAATCTGGATTTGCGGTCCAGATACTGGCAGATAAGAATGGCGGACAATTCCATCCACAAAACTACCTTCCGAAATCGTTACGGGTCGTACGACTATATGGTAATGCCGTTCGGACTCTCCAGCGTACCCACAACCTTCCAAGTAGAAACGAACCATATTATACGACCATTGCTGGAAAAGTGCATGGTGGTGTACCTGGACAACATCCTCATCTACTCGCGTGACATGAAGCAGCGCATCGAACACCTACGACGCGTCTTCGAAATACTTCGACGGGAACGATTCTAAGTCAAATGATCAAGAGCGAATTTGCCCCTTCTAGAAGGTCCAATTCCTAGGACACATAGTGAGTGCTCAAGTATTCATGTCGACCCTAAGAAGATCGAAGCTGTACACACATAGAAGACGCCTGAGACGTGAAGGAGCTGCAGCAGTTCCTAGGCTTTGCTAATTATTACACAGGTTCGTGCAATAGTATGCGAAAATCGCTACAAATGGGAATCAAAACATCGGGAAGCCATGGAGCAGGTAAAAAAGGCACTCACGTCCGCACCCAGACTAATCTTGCCAGACCCTGAACGCGACTACGTCATCGAAGCTGACGCTAGTGACCAGGCAGTGGGAGAAGTTTTTATGCAAGACTAAGGGAATGGATTGCAACCAATCACCAACCTCAGCAAGAAACTACACGGGGCAGAACTAAACTACCCGATACATGACAAAAAGGCCCTTGCTATTACCCAATTCTCCAAAATGGGACACGTCATCCCGACAAACACAATAGCACGCACAGAGGAGACGGTTCGTTCGCTACATCATCTCACAGCATGGCATTCCGACCACACTCACCTCCGACCAAGATCCTAAGTTCACCGGCAAGTTCTGGAAAGAATTTATGTCTCTACTTGGCACCAAACTCGCCATGTCATCTGCATACCATCCTCAGACAGATGGACAAACCGAACGGCTCAATCAAATTGTAGAGCAACTCCTTCGTGCAGCATGCAAGGACGACATCTCCAAGTGGGACTTGCATCTACCTGTCCTGGAGTTTGCCTACAACAATGCCACCCCTACATACATTATCTTTTCTCTGTTACAGACGCAACCTGCTAGCCCCACAGAAACCGACAGCACTAGCCACAGTCCAACCTGCACACGATTTCATCACCAACATGCACCAGCTTTGGGATCGGACTCATAAGTGCCTTAACGATATTCAGCAGCAACAAAAGCGCCTTGCCGATCGCCACAATCACCACACCATCACCGTGGGAGACCTTGTTCTCCTCGACACCCACAATCTCGACATCAGCCATCTCCCATCCAAACGGCAACCTTGCTTCTGCAGGCCTATTCTTCTTGAAACACAGGTCACCTCCGTAACCTTCAGCTTATGCCTGCCAGCTAGTTGGAAGATTCACAACGCCTTCCATGTCCAACTTCTGAAGCCGTACCACGATCCCAACACGATCTTCACTGGATGCCAACCGCTGCCTCCGCCGCCCGTCCTCGTCCATAATGAACCCGAGTACGAGGTCGAGTCCGTGCTTGCACACCGCTGTCGTCAGAATGGCAACTTGAAACATCTAATCTGTTGGAAGGGTTATGATCCTTCTGATGATAGCTGAGTCTCGGAATCTGACATGGGTAATGCCCGTCGTCCTCTTCGCGGCTTCCTTGTCAAGCAAGCAGGTTACTTCTGTACGAAATAGAGTTGAAATGATTGATTAGGTAAGGAGCCCAAGGCTCTATAAGTACATGGCAAGGTGAGAGTGAATGGATGAAGGGGGAATTGGAGGGAATCCCCATTGGGATCTCCTGAATCTCCAATTGGGTAATTGGAGATTGGGGGGATCACAATTGGGTGAGGTTGGGATTTGTGAGTACACCCCAACCCAGTAGAACATTCACAACCTAAACTAGGATATAAAAGTACAAATACAAAAGTGGTATTTGAAGTCTATTTCTAACACACCCCCATAGACTGCAAACCCGATCAAGGAGCACATAGCCCCATGGAACGGAGAAGGCGATTGTGGTCAGCCTTGCCGAGAGCCTTGGTAAAGAGGTCGGCGAGGTTGCAATCTGAGGCGATGTACAGTACCGTCAGCTAGTCACTCTTAACAAGATCTCGGATGAAGAAATGACAAAGTTTGATGTGCTTGGTGCGAGAGTGGAACACAGGATCCTTGGTGAGGTGAATGGCACTCTGGTTGTCACACCACAGGGTGGGCGACTGCTGGGGGTAGCCTAACTTAGCGAGGAGAAAGGAGAGCCAGCGTGCCTCTTGAGCAGCCATTGTGCCCGCGTAGAGCTCGGCCTCGCAGGACGACAGGGAGACTGCAGAGGACCGAGTGGAGCGCCAGCTGATGACTCCGCTACCAAGGGTGAAGCAGTACCCTTGGGAGGAGCGTCTGTCAGTCTGGTCATCTGCCCATGAGGAGTCTGTGTATCCCTCGAGCTTGACTGGAGAGGTACCACCAAGAGTGAGGATGTGAGACTTGGTGGCTTGTAGATAGCGGAGGACCCTCTTGGCTGTAGACCAATGCGAGGCAGTGTAGCGTCCAGGGGAGACGTACCGAGAGAGGACACTAACCGGGTAAGCCAAGTCTGGTCGAGTGCACATCATGGCATACATGAGTGAACCGACTAGCTCAGGGTATGGGTCCTTGCAGGCGTCAGGAGAAGGAACTAGAGGAGCCGTGAGCTGATGCTGTAGTGGGAGTGGAGTGGAGACAGAGTTACTGGAGTCCATGTCGAACCGCTTGAAAAGGTTGTTGATGTAGGACTCCTGGGAGAGGGTGATCGTGCAAGCCTGGCGGTCACGAGTGATCTCCATCCCCAGGTAGTTCTTGAGGTCACCAAGATCCTTCATGAGAAGGGCGGAGCTGAGAGCAGACTGGACAGCTGCCATGTCGGCTGGATCTCTGGCGGCTAGAATGAAGTCGTCGACGTAGACGAGGATGTAGAAGGGCTCGGAGGAGTGACGAACGAAGAGACTGGAATCTGAGGCAGAGGGATGGAAGTCAAGTGCGAGGAGGACTTCCTTCACCTTGTTGTGCCACTCACGAGGAGCCTGCTTGAGGCCATACACTGGGCGCTTCAGCTTCCACACTGTGTTGGCAGGGTAAGTGCTAGGAAACCCCGGTGGGCGTTCCATGTGAACATCCTCCTTGAGCTGGCCTTGGAGAAAGGCGGAGGAGGCGTCCATGGACTTGATCTCGAAGTTGCCGCGAGCGGCTATATCAAGAAGAGCGCGCACAGTCAGGAGCTTGGCTGTGGGCGAGAATGTTTCGAAGAATCGAGATACTCCTTCTGGGTGAAACCCTTCGCCACGTATTGTGCCTTGAACAGTGGAGCTTCGCCTGGGAGTTGTTTGACTCGGAAGATCCATTTTCCGCCGACGATGTTGACACCGGAAGGGGGAACAACATCGTCAAAGCTGTTGTTGCGAATGAACGCCTCGTCCTCCATATCCATTGCTGCCTTCCACTCCTTCTTATAAGGCCCCGAGAGAGCTTCCTCTTTTGTGCGAGGAGTCGGAATGGTCGGGTTCTCGGTAAAGTTGAGGGAAGGGCAGTCAGTAATGTCCGGGAAGATGTCAGAGAGAAATTGGCAGACCGCGTGAAGGTGAAACAGCTCCTCATGCCTGTCCTCCAGAAGTGCACGGGGGGGAATACGGATGGAGGGGACATCACCCCCGGCAGGAGGAGGCGGGGTGACCGAACACCAGATGGAGAAGGCGGCTGGTCCCCAGGCGAGAGGCGGAGCCGGTCCCTTGGAACGAGTGCGACTAGAGACCGGAGACGAAGGCGGCTGCGGTGGGACCGGAGGGACTGGGCGCCTCCGATAGGAGACTAGTGAGCCGGGCTCGACGCGCGGGGAAGGCGGAGCAGGAGGAGGTGCCGCTGCAGAGGATACTGGGGAGGCCGGGTGAGACACGCCGGACGGAGAAGGCCCCGGAGAAGGGGCAGCGGCCGGAGGTGGGGCATCGAAGTCTGCCCAAACAAGCGTAAGGGGAGGTGGAGGAGGCTCGCGCGTGGTCGCAGAGTGGAATGGGCGTGTCTCATCGAAGACGACATCACGGCTGCGAATCAGCTGTCTGGTGATTGGGTTGAGGAATAAGTAGTCTGGGGAGTCGGAGTTGTGCCCCAGGTACATGTAGGTCTGGGTTTTGGGACCAAGCTTGCCACCTTGCTTCCTGCGCATGTGGGGGCTTAGCAACACATACGCGGTACACCCCCAGACGCGTAGAGAGCGGGCGGAAGGCGTGACCCCAAGCCAGAGAGCGGTAGATGTGGTGTCGGGCCGGTGGGGATGCGGATAAAGATTGTAGAGGAGTGCCGCATGGAAGAGGGCATATCCCCAGAGTGACCGTGGTGCGTTGGCGTGACTGAGGAGGCAGCGAGCGATCTGAACCAAGGTGTGGTTGCGGCTCTCTGCAATGCCGTTCTGCTGCGGGCTTTCGGGGAGCGTAAAGGTTTGCCGAATCCCTTGGGCTGCACAGAAGTTATCGAGTTTGCCATTGCGAAATTCTCCCCCGCCATCAGAATGGAGGCACTTCAGAGGAGAGTTGAACGTGACTTGAGCTAGGCGCACCCACGTCATGATGACATCAGGTGCCTACGCCTTGGTATGCAGGAGGTGCACAAAAACAAACCGCGAGTGGTCATCGACTAATGTAAGGAAGTACCGATGACCGCCTCGGGATGCGACTGGAGCTGGGCCCCAGACATCCATGTGCACTAGGTCCAGCGGAGCAGCTGCGTCGAATGGGGAGGAAGGGTGCGGCTGCTGCCTGAGCTTGCTCTTGGTGCAGTCCAGGCAGGTGGGTGCAGGTGAGTCTGTTGGTGGAGGAAGCGCCGACGGGAGGCCAAGAAGAAGGTTCTTGGAAGCGATGTCGGCAAGTGTACGGAAGTTGGGGTGACCCAAGCGATGGTGGTTGAGGATGGTTGGTTTGGCAAAGCTGTGACACGAACACGGAGTGGTGCTGGCAGCTTGCGCTTGGGAGAGAGCGGCGAGAGGTGCAGGTGAACGCAGCGTGTAGAGCTTGCTACTGTTGAGTGTGAAGCGTGCTAGGAGCTTCTTGGACTTAGGGTCGAAGAGGTCATAGTGATCCGAGTGTGCTGGGAAGATCGTGGTGACGCCTGCCCGTTGGAGCTCGTGTTGGGCCACGAGATTGTGGCGTAGTGTGGGAACACACATGCCGATGACACTGCTCGAAGGAAAAGCTGGGCACGGAACTGTGGAGGAGCCCTTGGCGTGTGTTGTGAAACTGGAGTCTGCTCCTAGTAGACGGATTGGTTTCTCGTATGGCTTGAAGGAGTGTTCTTCCTTGAGAACCGTATGAGTGGCCCCACTGTCGAGGGTGAACTCTATTGTGGCTGAGGTGCTTTGTAAGCCGGGACACTGCGAAGTTGTCTCATTAATCATGGCAGTGCCAGGGAACAACATGTTGAGGCGCACATCAGCAGTGGGAGCTACAGCAGCCTGCACGGATTCCTGCGCTTCGACTTGATTGACCTTGCGAGGAGCACGATTGACCATCCAGCTTGGCGGTTTGGAGGCGGTCCCATTGACGGCATACCACTCGTCATCCTTCTTTGTGAAGCAGGAGGCAAGGGCGTGGTTGGTGCCGCCACACAACTGGCTGGCACGAGGGTTGCGCTTGATGAGATAGGGACACGGGGGGAAGCGGTTGCGCTGGAATGGCACCAAAGCGGCATAGGCTTGAGGCACGGGAGCGCGGATTGCATTGGCCTTGGCTTGAGCGCTGTTGTCCTTTTCGGCAGAAAGGAGCGCGGATGAGACCTTGGCAAATGTGAGGTCTGCAGGAGCAAGGCCCAAGAGCATCTTGCGTGTGACTTCGTATGCCGGAGTGAGGCGGACTAGGAGAGCGGCTGCAGGGGCTTGCTCGGGGAAGACTATCCCCAACTGTTTGAGTTCACCATGAAAGGACTGCACCTTGGTGACATAGTCCGCCATGCCTGGCGAGTCCTCGAGCCGCACTTGGAACATGCTGGGGATGAGTATAGCAACTCCCACTGCAGTCTTGTTCAGGAAGCGATCTTCGAGGTAGAGCCAAATGGCGTTGGCAGACGGGTAGTTGTGGTAGGTTTCGACGAGTTCGGGAGGAGTGGTGCCCATGAAGACACTAATGACCGCACCATCGGCCTTCTCCCAATTCTTGTACTTGAGCAGTGCAGCAGCATTAACTGCTTCGGCGGCGGCATTAGCTGGATCGGCGGACCTCTCGGGTTTAGGAGGCTCTTTGCCGTCACCGATGTTGAGATGGACGTCGGTGAGCTCGAGCCCCTTCACCTCGCGACTGAAGAGGTGCTTGTCGACACCATAGCGCCAAGCCTTGTAGTTGGAGCATGTGCCGCCCGGCTCGAGCCGAAGGAGCGGGATCGGGTTGGCGAGTGAAGTGGTTGAGTAAGCCATTGTCGGTGTGCAGCGCGGCACTTGTGGAAATTGGTCGACGAGAATTGCTGAAAATCACTCTGACGGCTGTATCAAACTGCCGCTAAGTAGGAAATGGCGTCGGCGAAAATTCGTTAAAACGCCGACTTGAAACTGAATCTGGGCCTATGTCTAACCCCGGACCCACACACCCCCCCACACACCCCCAGGCCCTGTCCCGCAGCTACACAGC